CTCAGTGAGGGTGACGGAACACTGGAACAGGCTACCCAGGGAGGTTGTGGAATCTCCTTCTTTGGAGACATTCAAAGCCCACCTGGACACGTTCCTGTGTAACCTTATGTAGGTGTTCCTGCTCCGGCAGGGGGATTGGACTAGATGATCTTTTGAGGTCCCTTCCAATCTCTAACATACTGTGATACTGTGATAAATGTAATTTAAGTTAAGGTGTAAGGAGCAGAAGTCCTCATCTGTAGTACTAAAGGAGAAAGTTTCTGCCTGTCTTTGATAACTTGTGGTCAAGATGCTGCTTCCCTCTTCAGCAGGAGAGTGATGTGAAGGAAATGGGATTTCTTTTGTAGCCCCTAGGAACATTGTCTCTCCACTTCCCTCCTTTCCTGTGCAGGCAGCTAGAATAGATATAACCTCTACTCTTTACTGGGAAAGGTAACAGGTTACATGGTCTAGGGTGAGGTGTCTCTGCTGGGCGTTGGAGCTGGATGATCTTAAGGTCCTTTCCAACCCAAACCAGTCTGGGATTCTGTGATTCTGTGGTTGAACATTAGGAAAACATGTGTTTGCCCATCACCCAAGAAAGCAACAGAGCAAAGGGGAACCTCATCATCTGGACTTTGGCAGGTGCCAGTTTAAAGGCAGTTTGAAGTGGAGACTGGTGTGAGGCGAGTGTAAGCTGGCTACAGCCTGATAGCTGGAGATGTTGCCTTGGAAAAGAGCAGAGCGCCAGGTTGCAGGGAGCCTGGCAGGGAGACTTGTACACTCTCAGAGCTTGGTGTGCTGCATTGTAGCTGACTAATGCATGTTACATCATAGAATCCCAGACTGGTTGGAGTTGGAAAGGAGCTTAAAGCTCATCCAGTTCCAACCCCTGCCATGGGCAGGGACACCTTCCACCAGACCAGGTTGCTCCAAGCCACATCCAGTCTGGCCTTGAACACTGCCAGGGATGGAGCATTCACAGTGTCCTTGGACACCCTGTTCCAGCTCCTCAGCACCCTCACAGGGAAGAGCTTCTGCCTTAGATCTAACCTGAACTTCCCCTGTTTCAGTTTGAACCCATCACCCCTTGTCCTATCGCTACAGTCCCTGATGAAGAGTCCCTCTCCAGCATCCTTGTAGCCCGCTTCAGACACTGGAAGCTGCTCTGAGGTCTCCATGCAGCTTCTCCTCTCCAGGCTGAACAGCCCCGATGTTCCCAGCCTGTGTTCATATGGGAAGACACCCAAAACATTGACTATAATTACATACTCATTATACAAACTGCTGCAGATTAATTAATACAAGCCTCTAGGAAAATCTGAATATGCATCTGTATATTTTGGAACTTCCATTTCAGTACAGTGTTCTTTGACAGAATTAATCTTGGTGACAGACATGTTGGGTATCTCTGGAGTATTCTTTGCTGCCTTTGTATTTAGGGGCAAACTGAAATGCAGCCACTCGAAAAGGAAGATGAAATACAGTGTGAGATTCGGTCAGACAGCAGGAGCTCTCTCCTCTGCAGATCCCTGTTGCTGTTACACGTAATCCTGATAGCTGAGCACCATCAGCTATGACTTAAGGGATGTGAATAAACTCTGTCTGTTGTGCTTCCTTCCCACTCTTCCAACCTTTCCACAAAAGGGAATATTTTGTGCTTGATCTTTTTTTCTGCTTTGCTTCTTTTTGCACACATATTATATGCATATACATCTATAAATATATACTTCTAAATACATTACCTTCCCTCCTTGGGAAGTAATGCTGGTGGCAGTAAGTGCACACACATTCTCCCTCTTTTCTCTGTCCCATCTCCCTCCTCTGTGTTTGTTGAGGGAAATGGTGTTGCATGGTGAAGAAAAGGGAACGTTTGTGATGGCTCTGTGTTCAACTTGCCTCTTGGAAGTGGCTGTCATCCTTTTGGAAGTGAGTCTCACTGAATGAGGATCAGTGCTGTTGGCTGCCCTCCTTTCCTTAGAGCATTGCTACTTGCACCAAGCCATTTGAGCATCTTGAAAGTATGGTCTAAAACTGTCAAACTCGGGATGCTTTGAACATGAACTTGTACCTCCTGAATTCCAGCACTGCAAACTCCCAGTGTGTTGAGATTGGATCTCATGTTAACCATCGTGCTCACAGGAATCATCCAGCTGAAGTCATGGGGGTAAACCAGAGCCTACTTTTCCCTTTGCCTATATGATTTTCCTCAAACCAGACACACTGAGTTGCTTACGAGTGTTGTGCAGTGCTTTGCCTTCATATGGAACTTGTGTTTGATTTCCAAGGAGAGAGTGTGGCTGCCAAGTCCTGTGGACAGTCTCTTTTGCCATTTGACTCCTGACAGAGACTGGAACAGCCTTTGGCAGGTGATGCGCGAGGGCCTTGATTGGTTACAGCCATCAGAGGGATGTGCATTGCTTTCTTTTCTGTTCTGCCTGGCTTCCTCTGGAAATGAGGCCTTTTCTGTCATGCTGTCTCTCTGCCAGCCTCTCCAACCCTATCCTATTGACTTTCCAAATCATTGGCCCATTTTAGTCCTCTTTAACAGCGAGGCAGATGCCTTGATGGTATTAAGGTTCTACCACTGTAATGAATGTTGGCAGCCGGATAGAGAAGAGAGAGATGTAATTAATGCCTGTAATGATCAAAAGGCTTCAGTGTGTGCTCAGCTTTTTTTAGGTATAAGGCTTTATTAGCTCTGCTGTGAAGGAAACTGCCTGGTTTTATATTGTGTGAGCATTATTTTAGTGCCTTTAATAGGTGGCTTTGCTCCTGCAGTTTATTTCAGTGTCATCCATGAGAAACCTAATGAAGGTTCAAACGTCATTGAGTGTGCTGATGTTGAATGTGCAGGCTGATGCTACCATATATCAGTGTGACTAATTCTGGGAGATAACAGAGCTGCATGAGAACAAAGTCTCTTCTTTCCCTGCTTTTCCTGACCTTGACTCCTTAGCTGTTCTCATCTTGGGCAGGGAGAAGGGGCAGCATCTGATGCCTGAGGTCTCCAACCTGAAGCAAAGGTTGCAGCATCTTGGTCTGCTGATGCTTCTCTGTGCCAGAAATCCTCCTTCTGTCATATAGCACTTACCTTCACCAGCTTCTATCCTGGGATCTGGGGTTCCTGACTGACCTCTGTGCAGCAGCATTGTGCTGTATCGTTCCATTGCTGTGAAGCAGGATGGGTGCTGTGGATGGAGGAGTGATGGGGAAACAGCTCTTCTGTTTCCCTAGAGAGATTGTCTATGTGGTACCATGGTAGGAGGGGTAATGGAGATAACATAACTACTCTAACCATCCCATTTAACGTGTGGGATAGTTTATCAGTTTACCCCAGGAAGCCAATTTGACTTGCATAGCTCAGACTTCCCTCTCTTACATGATAACCTCACATTTTTCACCTTCAACATTCTGTAAATATGCAGAAAACCACGTGAAGTTTTGCCATCTGGACAAAAATCTTCAAGAAAGATTATTTTACTTGAAACTCCAAAGAGTATTTACTTGGGTTTGAGCAGCTGGTGTAAGGAACCTTTGTACAGGGGACAAACAACAGCAACCTACATCGGTTTCGAGTTGAAAACTCTTAAAAGGGGTATAGCAGGAATATGGTTAAATATGATGTATATGCAAGTTCAATAATGATATGCTTTAGAGCACTGCCTCAATTGCCCTTTAGATTTGAGGTTTAAAATTGACCCATCAGTCTTCCATAAAATGGGCTGTTTGTATTATGAGTGATGAATCTGAGGCAGAAATGCAAAGAAGAAGATGCATAGGCCAGCGAGGCGAGTCTTTTTCACATTCACTTGGCTCATGAGGATGCTCATAGGTGATCTTGCTTGAGTTCCTGAATAAGTATGCAGTAAGTGTATTCCTTTCCTTTTTTCCCCTCTATCAAGATACTTTAGCATTAATTTGAGTATAAGTCAGCATGTTAAGACTATTTCTTCCTGCAGAATTTAAAGGTACCACAAGATACAGCTTGCTCTGTCTCTTACGGTACCTTTACATTCCATTTAGGGTTTTGTGCTACTCTCCTAAGTGGTTCTCATCAGCAATTGGAAATAGTAAGGTAGCCACCACTCATTTTGAGAACTGGAAAGCATGAACATGTGTATGTTCTATAAGCTTCTATTTCACAGGGTTTTCATGAATCAGGGTTTTTTTTTGGTCTCTCAATGTAGATCCTAGTTGTACGCACCAGGAACTGTGTGATGTAGACGTGTCTACTTATACAACTGCTCTTTCTGCATGTGTTTTATTACTCTTACCATGGAATATATATTCCCTCAGTTAACAAATATCAAAGGCAGTGTAAAATGGGAGGTAGCAAGTGGCTCAGTACCACACACATACATAGAGAGCTCTATAATTATTGTTTCTTAATAAATGAGTTCTGCTGGCATACAGAAGACTTGAGGGGGTCTGCAGCAATTCACAAACAATTGGCAGTTGGTTTAGTATTGGTCCTACCTAGTAAAACACCCAAATCTCTCTGAAATGAAGTATGTGATTAACCACCCTTGACAAATTGGAGCTGTTATGAATAATACGACCCCACTGGCTCAGAACAAAGCAAACTTGGCACCTCTGTTTTCCAACCTGCTCATCAGTAGGATTTTCTGCTGCTGTGCACAGAGCCTTTCGACTTTCCTAGACTCAGTTTTCAGTTGTAAAGTGCTCTGAAAGCAGCCCTGAAGCCTCAAATGATGCTGTGGCTGTGCCCAGCTGGAGCACCTGGAGCAGCTCTCCTAAGCGTTCCCTTGCTGGAGCTGAGTGAAAGGAGATCGTTTTCCCTGGTTCGTGAGTCAAAGCGTTTAGATGAATTCCCCATGGGTAACTCCAGGGAGTACAGGAGGTTTTGCTTCCTATTTTGCATTTAGAATATGCATTTCTGCCATTTATTTCACACCTGCACCAGTTATTTCAAGAGTGTAACATGAAGTTGTGGAAAGAGAAGGCTGAAGGGAATTTTCCCATTGAAATTTGCATTGTTCTTTTGCTTTTCATTCCAGTGAAATGAAGCAGAAGTTGGATGAAGAGGGTAACAAGTGCAGCATCCTTTCCAAGCAGCAGAAGTTCAACGAGCACTGCTGTATTCGCTGCTGTACTCCTTTCACATTCCTTATCAACAGCAAGCGACAGTGCCAGGACTGCAAGTACAACATCTGCAAGAGCTGCAGTTCTTATCAGAAGAAGGAGAAGGCTTGGATTTGCAGCGTCTGCCAGCAAGCAAGGTAAGAGCTTATTGTTCAGCAACCTGTGTTAAGCAGCCATGGCCTGACCTGAGCCTTTCCTTCTGTTTGTCAGTAGTTAACACTAGCGGGCTAGGACACAAAGTGCCTGTTTGTGTTGGGGTTGATTTGTTCCTGAGGTGTGACGTGCATGATGTCTATAGAGGTTAATTTGTTCTGAGAGTGTTTGGTTACCTGCTGCACTTTCCAGGCTTTGCTTAGCTGGCCTGGTGAATCAGCAAGCATTAACTGGATTTAGCCTGAGCAGGGCTAGGGTCTGAAATGCCTGGGTTACTCATGGGACCTGAGCACAGATGGTGGGAAGGCAGTTATCCAGTTTGCAGCAAATCCCACTGAGGGGTGAGAAGGGGAAGGAAAACTCTTGGTGACTGGATCATCCAGGTGCGACCGTGGTTTGGAGTGCTTTTCGAAATGCCAGCTTACTGGCAAGTAACCAATGAAAACAGCAGTGCAGCCTGTTATAGTTCTTAACATCTGGTAAGGGTATGTTGCCAGGCTTCCATTTGTAGAGGGTGTCAGGGTTTTGCTATCTCCCCCTTTTGAGGCTAACAGAGCCACAAAGGCAGTACCACAAAACCAAAGCAAACTCAAGCAAACACGTGGTAGCAGCAAAGGGGCCATTCCATGGATGGTGGCTGTGATAGTCCTTCTTGTCTGTGTTAGAACCCAGGTTCCAAAAGCAGCCTTAGCTGTTGTGATGTAGCAGTGACCAAGGCCCATTTAGACAAGAAGTGTGAATGAAATAACTTGATTCCTAGTAGTTTAATTTTGACCATTGTTGACTAAAGCAGCTGAGCAAATGTGACAGAGATAGTTTATTCTTCGTGGTTCCCTTCAGTGGAGAACACAGGATGAAGACAAGAGCTGAGTCCCTTTCCAATGCTGTATGATATTCCAGTGCTTGCCAAAGACTCATTGCTCCTGCTCGTTCCCCATCCACACTCACATGAAATATGAGTTTTCACATAGTATCTGTGAATGAAGTGTGTTCCATTTGACACAGGGCCTTAAAGTAACAGTGATCCCAGATGGATGATGCCATGTTTCCAAATGGCAACCTTTGAGACTGAATGAGGTTGTATTCTCCAGGGCACCTGCTCCTTCTCTGCCTTTTACCTTAGAAAACCTACACACACACATCCTCTTTCCCCCAGTGGGGAGGCACAAGAGCCACAGGAGCATCTTCTCTAGCAGCACAGAAAGCTGGAGAGACAATGCTTGTTTCCAGTTAGGTCATTCAACCATTTCATTTTACACCTCTTTCTTCCACTTCTCCTGAGATCACCCATGCGGGCAGGCAGGAGTGGGGATGCTGATGAACTGCGCTTAAAATAGGTTTTGCTGACTCTGCAAAAGAAGTCTTGGAAGAATGGATGAGTTCCAGCAGAAAAATCTGTAGCTGTGTTATAAAAATGCTGTTTCGGACCCTGGAAGTCAGTGCTTTTCCCACAGTCCTGTGTAGACCTCCCAGTCACCCACCCATAACTCAGTTATGAACTCCTCTGGTATTGATGATGCCTGACACATGGCTTGAGTTATCTTTCAGTGAACACATTAACTAACACTGCTGCAAATCATTTCATGGTCTGATGTATTGATTGGACTGTGTGAAAGCAGGGGGTGGCATTCGTTCGGGGATGCTGAGGTGTTTAGGTTTGGTTTTGGGGGGTCCTTTTTGGTTTTGCAGGGCTTTTGGTCTTAATCCTCAGTATTGCCTCCAGGGGGAAGCACCGCAGTGTGTTGTGAGTGCCTGTTGCTTTCTCAGTGACTTACCCTCACGTGGAGCATGGACTGTGCTCTCCTGTCCCTCTGCAGCTCCCCTGATGTCTTTATTTTTGCCTTTACTAAGACAGCGCAAATAGTGGACGAGGCTGTCATTTTAGGTTCTGCTTGTCCATGCACCTTGCTGTGCAATAGATAGTAAGCTAGAAATACCTCAGATAGTACTGCATTTGCAGGTTGTTCTCCTTTTTTTCTCCCCCTTCCGCTATGTTTTTGGTTAGTTCTCCAAGTGTGAATGTTGTCATTCTCTGCTGTGCAGAAAGAGCTTAGATGAACTGGGTAAGTACAGACATCTGTAGTTCAGACTTCCCATAGTGACCTGTTTGTGCTCTTCAGCTTCAGAGCAGGGCTCGAATAAGCCTGAGCTTTATTTCTAGCCTGTATTTAGAATACATCAACAAGCTCTCTAATGTCAGAACCGTTTTCTTGCTGTACAAAAGGCTTTTAAAGCTTTCTCAGCATACATTGTGATTGTAAAGATGGTTCACCCCATGCGTTAGAGCTTGAGACTAATTAGGTGAGTTACTTGGAAGATACATTTCCTCTGCACATGTGAAAATGCTGAACAGTTCCCATACGATGTGAGAGTTGGAACCATTGACTTGGGGATGGTTAAGTTAGTTTTGAAAGCACTACATGGTAGAAAGATCCCTTGGGTTTGGATTGAAAACCCCTCCAGGAGCTGTACCCTTTTTTTTTAGACCTTATTTCTGATAATCTTCTGATTATTTCTGATTATCTTCCTCCAAAAGAGGAATAATCAGTAATCAAGGAGGAACAACTGTCAACTTTTGCAGGTTTTAAGTATTCTTGTGGTATATTGCTGCACCAGAGTGATCTTGACCCTGGGGAAAATCAGACCTGTTGAGTTAGTCTCCCAAAGCATGACCCTAAGGGAGATACCTGTTCTACAGCAGTTGTTTTTCATCTGTCCATCTACATTGACATTTAGCACAGACCAAATACGCAGGTCAGCATTTTTAACACAGAACATTTGTAGAGAATTAGGCCAAAAGAGTTAGTCTGTGCTTCTTCCAAAAGCAGGAAACTCATAAGGCAATGAAAATGTTGGTGTTTGAGCTCCCTTACAGCACATCTCCTGTTGCATCTTCTAAATGTGAGAAGCTTCAGCTCAGTAGGGTATCTCCCTGCTCAGAAATGCCTTCACAACAACGTCTGTGTAGACCTTGTGATGAACTGGAGAACCTTCCTCCAATTCCCTGATTTTTCCAGATCTAGCACACATTCTCCTCATGCATTTTATTCTAGATTTATCTCAGGGTGCCATTATTAATGTTCCAGGGGTTTTTTTTTTCTCCTCTCATATCTGTATCTTCTTAATTTTAAAGTAGGTTATGATAAAACTGTATATTATTAATTTCAAGCTCTCAATTTGTCTGTAGTGCATTTCTGGTTCTTCCAAAGCTTTATACCCTGTCTCTTCGTTAGGCACACATCAGACAATGGGTGTAGGCAACTTGCTGAGCTCTGCGCCTCTGAAGTCCTCTTGACTAAGCAGATTCCAGACACTGTTTCTTTGTCCTCTGGATTAACACTTTAGGTACCAGAGAGATGGGGGGGTTCTTGTCTCATGTATTCAGAATGGGGCATGCTTTTCTTTTGCCTGAGATCACTTTTACTGTCCAGTCCCCAAGGAGCCACATCCCACAACACCCTGTTAGTGACACTTTGCTTTCCAGTTGAGTGCTTGTACTAAAAGAAGTGTTAGTGTAAGCTATTAAAATGCATATTTTTGCAGGTTTTGTAAACCAATCATGTTTTCTTCCGGACTGTAGGAGGGGTATTTATATACCATCCAAATATATATATATATATATATATTCCCATCCAATATATAGTCCCATACAAAATATGGCACCCAGACATCTGACTTCCCCCCTCAGCTTTTCATGACTATCATGTCTGAATCCCCTCGCATTCTTGGTTCTGTTCCTCTAGTCTCACCATCTACATGTGAAAGGATTTGTGTCTTTTGTGAGTGGGAGCAATGATACCTAATCCTTTCCTGCCTTCACATCCATATGTTGGCTGATTTTCCTGCTTCTTCCCTATCCGCTCATTCATAGTGATAGAATGGTTGGTGTTGGAAAAGACCTTCTGTACAATGAGGGTGGTAAAACACTGGCACAGGTTGCCCAAAGAGGCGGTGGATGAACCATCCCTGGAGACATCCCAGGCCAGGCTGGATGTGGTTCTGGGCAACCTGATCTGGTTGAAGATGTCCCTGCTCATTGCACGGGGTTGGACTGGATGAGCTTTGAAGGTCCCTTCCAACCCAAACCATTCTGTGAGTCTATGATAAATATAATAATGCAGAACAGAGTATATTTTTATAGAAACATGGTAAAATTGATGGTAGATGTGATATGAGCCTGCCAAGGGACACATCTCTTCTGCTTAGCTGATGCAAGGTGTAGTGTAAAGCTCTCTGTAGTCTCTGTAGGGAAAAAAAGTACAAACTACCAAGATTTGGCAAAACCTGGGAATGCTCCTTGATAACTGAACCTTGTATTTGCTTGTTACGGTTTGCTGTAACAAACCAGGTGGTTGCAGGATGTCATTGTGGAAAGCTAATGAAGATCTAGAGCTGCTTTAGCAATCTTGGTTTGCTTTCAAACAGCCTCAACCATCTGGTCCAAGGAAGCTGAAAGATCTTTTCAGTAGCCTGCCTCAGCCCCAGCTTTGTGTATACTTCGTGAGAGTTGTGTATATCTGCTGTCTGAGGTCCTTGTCTGATATTAGAGCTTACACAGAACTTGAAAGCTGGGACTTTGTCATGCCAGGAAACACGTTTTTCCTTCTGAGATAGGATTATACAGGAACAGGCACTTGCTGTGTGGCAAAGTAGAAGAGGTGAAGTTTCAGCTCTGCCCTGTATTGCCTTCACTCAAGCTGTATGGGTCTTGTTCTGACTTCTGGACTGGAGGAGGAGTACATGGAGTCCCATCCTCCGAATGATCCCATTTGTATTGTACTTAAAGTATTTCCTCGTTTCAGATAGGCAGCAGTGACAATTATTTTCTTCATCTTTGTGACCTTGTAGGAATTGATGTAATTCCATCAAAAAATGCCTGCTGCTCTGTTCCCATGTTCTTCCTCCTCCTTCTCCCACCCCTATCTCTCCGTGTTGTATCCTGTCTCTTGATCTCCTTTCCCCGTACATGCTTTAACATCACAGA